TTATTAAATTTGCTGTAGTTATTTCAATGAGAAAGATAAATAAATATTCTGAGTAGAATAAACTGAAGAATTTTGAGTTGACTTGATTGATAAATTTAATTAACTTTTAATTTTAATTTACATTTCAAATAAACTCAAAATATATAAGTTATGTCATACTCAAATGTATGAGTTTTAGAAGTCAAAAGAATTGTGGCAACTGATTGCCTTACTTTTTTTGAGTACTGCTAACTTATTCGGGTTTACAGTGTAGATAAGTAATTTTTTCTTAAAATAAGTGTATTTGTTCTTGGATTAAGAAGATATAAGAGACATTTTGCCAATGGAATAAGACAATTTAGATTTAAAATAAGAAATCACAATTGCATTATCTTATTTCAAGTGCATATTATCTAATTATCTTATTTTAAGACTAAAAACACTCATTCCATTGGCAAACTATCACATTTACCTACTCAAAATTAAGGGGAAAAACACTTAATATAAGAACTTTTTACTTCTTTCTAGATCGTTTTTGCAGTGTGTTAAAGACAGATTTCCATCTGGATTTTAAATCTTCCATTCAGACACATTAATCCAGTTTCATTAGTGGGAATCAGGTCTCTTAAGACACATCCCACTTGATTAAATGTATTAATGTATTTGAATAATTTAATCTTTCTATACTTTTTAATCTGGTGAAACAAAAGTAAACTTCTGTAAAGCAGAAATTGGACATTTTCAGTTTATAGAAAACATAATTCTGTTGGTTGATGGATTTAGTTTTCCTCATTGGTTCAGCAGCTATGCTGTTGGTAAAAAAAAAAAAAAAAAACAGACTGCTCATGGCCAAAATCATTAGATCTCAAAATAGACACAACCTTGAAATCCAAAATGGCTGCCTAGTAAAGAACCATTTTCAAAAGCTTCAGTAGAAACATTTCTTATTTACAAATCTGTCTTTTTGTATCTCTCATCAGCCAAAAAGTTAGTAAAACACATAGTTTTAGTCAACAAGCTGGTTTTTAAAAAGCTGTTTTATTTGCAATATTTATTCTGGTTGCAGATTAATTAGCAAATCAGATTACTTTTTCACTTCCATTCTCTTTATTCTTATAGGGTCAGATTACAGCAGGATTTACAAAACAATTCATGTATACATATTGTCCTTTCAGTCCAGTCATAAAGTCAGATTCTAAGACCGTTCTATTCGTTCCTGTTGCATCTTAGCTAGTTTAACTGAAACCTGGTTGAAGTGTCATTCTCATGTCAAACTTTGGAATTTAGGAGTGAACAAAACCCAGTGGTTCACTGCATCACAGTTAATATGTTTACCTTGAAAATGTGGCCGCCTTTAGTTGGATGTGTGTTAAGTTCACTGGCTTCTCCAAATCCTCCTTAAGTGCGAGTTTGAACGGTTGTTTGTCCTGTTTCTCTGTGTTTCCCTGAGATGGACTGGCGACCTGTCCAGGGTGGACCCCGCCTCTCACCCACAAACAGCTGGAGATAGACACCAGCACCCCTCGAAACCCCACAAGGGATAAAGTGTGATGGAAAATGGATGGATGGATGGATGGATGTCACTAGTGCTACTTGCACCATAGTTTGAAAACCATGGACCTAAATCAATTGTTTGCATCTGACTTAACGTTTCTGGTTTCCGCTCTGCTGGAAGGTGAGCATCCCCTCTCACGTCTTACAGCCTCCGTTTTTTTTTTGTTTTTTTTTTACATATTTACACCATTCCCTT